GATGCTGCTTGGCCTGCTGTGTCCATCCAGCTCTACACCTTGTTATCTCAGATTCTCCAGCATCGGCAGTTCCTACTATCTCTGAATATTAAATAGAGGCTTGGTCTCCAACACTAAACCTCACGTCACTTAAAAAAACACCATCTAGATACTATCAGACTATTGCTTGTGGGAGCTTCCCATGAACCAGTTGCCTGCTAGATTACACACGTTGGATAGAGGAGGTGATGGATAATGGTATTATCGCTGGACTGTTAATTTGGAGACCCAGAAATTAAAAAAAAAGAAACAGTGACTGTATTTCAACAGAGAGCTCCATTGACTGTTAGTGGTGCTCTGAGTTTGGGGTAGAGACTTATAAGCTGCAATAGAGTCAGAAACCTCCCTACCTGAATTCACTATTAGCTGCAGTGAGGCACAGATTCTGGGACGTTGCCCTGCTCTTATGAAACACGTGTAGTTCCCGGAATCTGAGGTCCTCACTGCTCGGAGCTGCAGGGTTACGTTCCCTGTTTCATTCCAGGCAGGAGAGAGCGCCGTGCGGTTTATAAAGCTGCTGTCTTGCTGTTCTTGAGCCTCACCCCCTTGCCTCTTTGCGTGCACAACCAGAGTTGCATTCTGGTCTTTCTTTTGCCAGGACACCAACAGCTTATCCAGCTGCCTATCGGGCCTGAAGGAACAAGGCAGATAAACTGTGTCGCTTCTCGTTGCTGTCACAGAACTTTGATTTTCTTCACACTGTATGGGCTCTGTAAAGGAAAGAGATAAGCTCAGTCAATATTGAGGGTGCATCACCTGCAGTATAGCTCCACACTATGAAGGCCCCACCTTCTCAATCTCGCCCTTTGCTTGAGTCATGGTGACCCTCAGGTTAAATCATCAGTAATAGTCTCTCTCCAAAGACAGAGCAGGGCTATAGTCCTCTGGGACCAGGACAACTTTAATTTTACCTTAACACACACAAGACTGCTTATTAACTTATCTGTCTTCATCTTTAAATCTCACTCAGGGTTTCTATCCAATTCAGCCTCACTTTCATCAGTTCTGTCCCACTCTCTACCTTAGCACTGTTTGTCTATCTGCCTTTCTCTTTCTGGACAGGGACAGCATGGGGTTAGAATCAGAATAAAGCTTCCTCTACACTGTCCCCATCAAACACTCCCAGGACAGGGACAGCAGGGAGTTAGACACAGAGCAAAACTTCCTCGATACAGTTCATGTCAAACACTCTCCAGGACAGGGACAACACAGGGTTCAGTACAGAGTAAATTTCCCTCTACATTGTCCCAAACACTCAGGACAGTGACAGCATGGGGTTTGATACAGCGTTAAGTTCCTTCTACAAGGTCCCTATCAAATGCACCCAGGACAGAGACAACACGGGGTTTGATACAGAGTAAAGCTCTTTCTACATTGTACACCATCAAACACTCGCAGGACAGGGACAGCACAAGATTAGATACAGAGTAAAGCTCCTTCTATACTTTCCCCATCAAACTCTCCCAGGACAGTGTCAACACAGGGATAGATACAGATTAAAGCTCTCTCGACACAAGCCCCAACAAACACTCCCAGGACAGGGACAGCATGGGGTTAATTACAGAGTTAAGCTATCCACTTACACATTTACTGGGAGCAGATAAAGCAGAAACGTTCTCTGAAATGTCCTTGTGCAGTTCCCTGATACGGGGGAAAAGTGTGGGATGGGGAGCTGTCTATCTTACCCGGTAAGGAGTCTCCAACCAAGAAGAGAAGGCCGAGTGTCAGTCTGAAATGCACAGTGATCATTTCTTTAATCACAGGAGGCAAGTCTGGGTCCGGAGACAAAAATATCTTTGTCAGTGCAGTGCAAGTCAATGTTAGGTCACACAGAAACCACTGAAACCAGCTTGCTGCTTGTTCTCAGGAAGTTGTACAGTTGTTACAATCTGTTTGCTCACAGTTTTGATGTGGCACCATCCTGAAAGAGAGAATCACAAGACAGTAGTACAAACAGAAAGTTCAATTTTCAGTGGAATTGCCAACCAAAGAGATATGACACTTCCGGAATTGGAGTTTTTAATCGACAGAACACAAATGTGGCAAGATATGTTAAGCAGGCTATTTGAAGATAAGACAGGATCTTATCCTTATAAGTAGGGCACAGTATAAAATCTAAGTAAGGACAAATGTGTCGACGCAGGCTTGGAGGGCCAAAGGTCCTGTTCCTGTATTGTATTGTTCTTTGTTTATTGACATGTTGTCCAGAGAAGGTTTACAAGAATGGTCCCAAGGATGAAGGTCTTGTCATATGATGAGCAGTTGAGGACTCTGGGCTTGGGTAGAGTGGACATGAAGAAGATGTTTCCACCAGTAGAAGAGACTAGGATCTGACGGCACAAACTCTGAATGAAGGGACGACCCTTTAGAACTGAAATGAGGAGGGATTTCTTCAGTGAAGGGCAGTGAATCGATGGAACCTATTGCCACAGAGGGCTGTGGAGGCTAAGTCATTGAGAGTCTTTAAGACAGAGTTAGGTTCTTGATTAGAAAGGGGGTCAAGGGTTATAGGGAGAAGGCAGGAAAATGGGGTTGAGAAACGTATTAGCCATGATCGAATGGTGGAGCAGACTCAATGGGCTGAACCGCCTAATTCTGTGCCTTTATCTGACGGTATAAATAAAGGATTAGTGCTCTTGTGGCACAGTGATAGTGTCCCTATCTCAGGGCTGGGAGGCTTGGGTTCACATTACCCCTTCCCCACTCCAGAGGTGTGTAATGAC